ATATATAATGTAATATCAAGTTATAAGTACGCTAGACATTTTAATAATAAAGAAACACAAGAAAAAAGATTCTAGGGAATAAATATTTTGATTTACAAACATGAAAATCTAATCTATATTGTTGAAAATGCGATATTTATTCATATAGTCATTCGAAACAAAGATCTGAAAGAGATTCTTATTGCACCTTATAAAAAGAACTTATAAAATATTAAGTTGAAATCAATTAAATTTGAAATGTATCCACAGAAATAGAAACGAAAAATAACCTTAGTAAGCGAAACTCCATTTGATTATAACTAAGTGCTTCAAATAGTTGACTGTAGAGAACTCAGTTTAGTAAATACTGCTAACTCCAATTCGTTAGTTATAATACTAATAAGACTTAATAATCTTATGTAATCTATGTTATTAGTATTGTTGCTTATATTGCATGGTTTAAACATTGTTCATTATTAATTTTTGACTAGTATTTTATCTTATTTTTGTTGCTTATTTACACATTAGTAATAACGTCTAATACTATTTATTTGCGTGAATTTCTTAGATGAAACATTGACATCGTCATTAACCAATGTGCTGGTGGAGTTGCGCGGGAAATGGGAAAGAGCAAACCGAGTTCACGTTCCGACCGAAACTATTCTGTTTTTCACATACTCTTTGGAAAAGTATGCATTTCTCTTTTTATTTTTACTAACTATAGATACAGTGAGGCAAAGAGTCGTGTTCAAATTAAGAACTGGTCTGTTACGTTTATTTTAGTGCCACTGGAAAAGGCCTAAATCCTTCTCTTATTCCCATCAACTTTGTGTTTAATAACAGAATTAACTGAACTCTTTTAGCCTTGAGAGGCAACCAATCTAAGAGAAAGAAAACTCTGAATTCTAAATCTCGGAGAAAAAAGGCTATACTATATTTTCTAAAAATGCATGGCAATTCATAGATAAAAAAAAAAGAAGAAAAATCCGTGGGGAGTCAGGATCGTCTACGTTCTGTAGGAACATATCGTATAAAATAGGTAAAATAATAGAGTAAACTATGCTCTGTAGACTTGGTAGTGAAAAAAATCTAGAAGAATGAATTCAAACCATGTGGGAAGCAATGAGGAAATATCTCAATACCTTTCCCAACTCATGACAATAACCAATTTATGGAGGGCAAAGAAAAGGAAATTGTGGAAAGTGATTACCTTTTGCATCCTGAATAGACATGATATTTATGGAGAAGGAAAGGATGAACAACAGCAGTCAAAACATTCTAACAGACAACAAAGAAAATACAATGTCGAATAAGAAAAAATAAAAAAGAACTAGTTAAAAAGGAAATACTCAAAATCGGTTTTGATAAATAAGGGTTATTATACCAGGACAAATTGACTATAAAAGAGTAACCCGTTGTTCATATTAAACTCGTGCTTTAAAAAGGAAACATAATATAAATATATTGCCTGAATTTTGCAGATAAAGCATTAATAACTTTTCACTAGTTTTCTTCCATCATTTTTTTTTGTTTGTGTTTTAGGTAAGAAGATGAAACAGTTTTAAATTGTTCAGTTTTGTTTGATGATAAATTATCATTATTACTGATTTTTTTTTAACATTTTTGTTGCTTATTTACACCAAGGAATAATAACAAAGACCTAATAATATTCAATTGTTTGAATTTATCCACAGAAGTATTATTGTTACTTGTATCATTTGACTTACGTTTCTTTCTTATTTCTCCCGCCTTTACACTCATAAATGATAGTTTTAAACTGAATTAATTTCTTAGATGAAATATTGTCATTATTATTGATATTTCTATTATTTTCTTTATCTAATCTATGTACTTATTTAGACCCAATAATAATAATATGCAGTAATGTTATACTACCTAAATTAATAACTAAAACTTTGCTTATTTTTTACTAATATTTAATCTTATTTCTGTTGCTTGATTACACATAGTAGTAAGAAGCAACAATCTTAAAGTTTCTGAATTTCCCAAAAGTAGCACTGACATCATCATTAATTTTAGATTTCGCTTTTGTTCATGTGATTTCTACATATTTGCACCTTGTAATAATAAGAGACATAATATAAAAATGTAAAAGAAAGGTGTAATAGTTTTACGTTGGCAGGATTAATTTTTTATGATTATTATTAGATTTTTTTTACTAGATTTTCATTATTTTTATTTCTAGATCTTTATATCGCAACTTTCTTATTGCTTTGAATCCTATAACCGTAACATATAAAATTAAAGCATGATATATTCAAGAAATTACTTTAACAAATAAACCAGTCTATCAAAAATAATTTTATATTCATTAACATGGAGCATTGATTAAGAGAATGTAAATAATTACAGGTGAGCAGATAATTACACACGCACCCAATCGTGGGCAATGTGGCACAAGGCCAGACTTAAAATGGGAGTCCCTCGCGTACATGGAACTAGAGAGAATTGCTCAAGCCCCTTCGGCATTTTCCTTTTGGGGACGCTTCAGGCGATAATG